GCGTAGCTGCGTCGTACTGCCCAGTCTTGGAGAGACTCGCTGGTGTCCTGGCACACCTGGACGTCATCGTTTCCCTCGCACACTGCTCGGTCCATGCACCTTCGGAATACGTCCGACCCAAGATTCACAAGCGGGGTGAAGGCCAGACAATCCTGAAGGAGGCTCGGCATCCATGTCTGGAAATGCAAGACGACGTGCAGTTCATCACGAACGACGTCTCTTTGACTCGCGACAAGTCTTCATTCCTCATCATCACTGGCCCCAACATGGGCGGAAAGTCAACATACATCCGTCAGATTGGCGTCATCGCCCTCATGGCCCAGATTGGCTGCTTCGTTCCCTGCAGTGAGGCCGAGCTAACCATCTTCGACTCCATCCTGGCGCGTGTCGGAGCCAGCGACTCTCAGCTCAAGGGCGTGTCAACGTTCATGGCGGAGATGCTCGAGACGGCCAACATTCTCAAATCGGCCACGGCCGAATCGCTCATCATCATTGACGAACTCGGTCGCGGTACATCAACATACGACGGCTTCGGTCTCGCGTGGGCCATTTCCGAACACATTGTCAAGGAGATTGGCTGCTTCGCCATGTTCGCGACGCATTTCCACGAGCTGACGGCCCTGGCGGACGACCATCCGCAGGTGCACAACCTGCACGTCACCGCGCACATTGGCGGCGGCGGCGGCGAAAACAGCAAGCGCGAGGTGACGTTGCTGTACAAGGTCGACGACGGCGTGTGCGATCAGAGCTTCGGTATCCACGTGGCAGAGCTGGTCCGCTTCCCCGACAAGGTCGTGCGGATGGCGAAGCGCAAGGCTGACGAGCTGGAGGACTTTACGTCCAAGCACGAGGACCTGGGTCTCAAGTACAGCAAGACCGATATCGAGGAGGGCAGCGCGCTGCTCAAGGAGGTGCTGCTCAAGTGGAGGGAAGAGGTCGCCGCTGGGCAGATGAGCAAGGAGGAGATGGTCTCTAAGCTCAAGGGGCTCGTCATGGCGGATGAGAAGTTGCTTGCGAACCCCTTTTTCCAGTCTGTCAAGACTTTGTGAGGGCAACCCCAATGATGGCTGCCCTCGTTTGATAACTTTGCGCAAGGCGTTGGGGGTCTAGGTCACTGGTGTACAATATTACGATCAATATGCTGGCCTCTGAAGAAGAATGGCTTTTATTAAGGACGGCAGAACTACAATGGGAGGCATGTAGCAAGACAACACCGGATCACTCTATGCGACGTTTTTGATTAATAGTGCCAGCGCAAAGTGCAATGCATACCTAGAGACTTGGGATTGTTAGCACCTTGTACGACGCATCCCGTGAGGGTATCAAGATAGAGTTGTTGTCGTGGAACAAATCAGACAAATGATAGAACGGTAAAAGTTTGAATCACAAATAACATTCATAAACAGCCTCTGAAGCTGAATATCATCATAGTAACAGGGGAGAGATATGAGAGGGGCATAGAAGAGGACGACGTACCATGGATAAAGCGCTGCACAGCACCGTGGAACTGCTAGAGATGAGCATTAACGACGAAGGATGTTCATCATAATGAGTCCAGGACATGTTGGAACGTGCTGCTGAAGAGATCTGGCATCGAAGTTAGCCACCTGCAATTTTTGTGTACAAATGATGTCTGAACGTGAGTAAGGTTGTGGCGTCGTAGCGGGGGTCAGAAAGTGATAGAACGGTGATGTTTCGAATCATGTTGATTGTAATCATAAACAGCCTCTGAAGCTGAGTCTCATCATGTAGTGGGGGTTTGATTCGGTGACGCGAGTTGTGAGAAGAGTACTTACCAAGACTTCAACATTGCGACTGTGAAAGCGTCTTTATTAACTGAACAGAAGCCCTTTGACTCAGAAAGATCCTGTCTGAAGGGTGATTAGCCGATGCCGGACCTCGACGGATACGAAAAGCCAAGACATTGTGGTTTAAGAAGGATCAGAAAATTGATAGAACGGTGATGGGTCGAATCATGAAATAATTCATAAACAGCCTCTGAAGCTAGTGATTCATCATGCTAGAGAAAGGGGGTAACGAGAAAAAATCCAAGCTTACCAAAGTCGGGGACGAGAACCCGCGTGTCCGCCGTTCCATCACGGCGTTTACTGCAACTAAAGTCTGCCCCCACTATAGCGGGATATTGCACCCTGATCCCTTGATCGGACGAGTGAAAGAGTCTTCGCGTAGATCTGATGGCACACCGAGCGTCCTTCCATGGCTTCTGTTCTCTGCTTTTCTCTTGTAGTTCCAAATGAGTTCTGTAATTTTCTAGCATCCAAATGCCTAGACGTCGCGGTCAGTACATTTGAAAGATCAGCAAGTATGCAATGTTGACAGGAAAGTTTAGTGTAATCAGACAAATGATAGAACGGTGATGGGTCTAATCATGAAGATCATAAACAGCCTCTGAAGCTAGTGTATCATCATACAGAAAATGTGCATTGAATGAAAATAAAGGCTGGACTTACTCTGAAAACTTCAAGTTGGGTTTGGCCCGAAGGTTAGATCATGCTGGCCTGAAAGCTATGTCAGTATTCGTGAAAAGCTGGCAGACGCAGAAAATCGGAAACTTGAATCGCAAATCAGACAAAAAGATAGAACGGTGATGTGTTGAATCATGTAGATCATAAACAGCCTCTGAAGCTTGAGTATCATCAAGAGAGATGGGGTAGAGACAAAGAACTTGCCAAGACTTACCTTAATATATGTGGATGGTGTGTATCGGAGGCTCAGCATAGCACACTGACGTCAGGTCTGGATTTGGATGTCAGTTTCAGTCACAGATAATGTAACACGAGACTATGAGTATTGAAAGCCAAGTCAGACGAATGATAGAACGGTGATGGGTCGAATCATGAAGTGATTTCATAAACAGCCTCTGAAGCTACTGTATCATCATAAGGAGGGAAAGGGTAAACAAAATAAAACTGACCATTAGTAGATGAGGTTGCGGCGGTGATAACGAAACACTTGGTGTTGTTGGTTGCTGCTAGAAATCGACTTCTTGTTAGCGAGTGTGGAGAACAGCAAGATGCAAAAGTTTCCAAAAAACAAACTCATAATCAGATAAATGATAGAACGGTGATTGGTCGAATCATAAAATAATTCATAAACAGCCTCTGAAGCTAATGTATCATCATTGAAGTTGGCAAATGCCGACATTACGCAAGAACGTACCATTGTTGAGACGCAGTCGGCGGTGCGTCATTGGAGACAGGCACACATCACGCGGAAGCTCAGAGAGCATGAGAAAAAAATAGTACAATTCTCCATTTCCTCTAGCCGATGAGACTCCTCTTCATGTGCCCACGTGTTTCGCAGGCTGTGTATATGTACAAGCAACGGGAAATAAAAGAGCATGCCTCGCTGGGCTGGGTGGTGGATTGGTGGTGGTGATGGTTTTGATGTTTCGTTTGACTTTGTTTTACTCGACAGTTGCCTTGACGGGGTTGATCTCAACGCCGTACTTCTCCTTAAGCCGCTCACGTCTCCGCTCCTCGTAGCCCGGCGGCCGGATACCTGTAACGCGTCAGCCCTCTGTGGGATATCGAGCCCCGTACTCCAAAAGTTAAACATACCACGGCCCTCGCCAAGCTCTGCAATCGTCTCCTCGATCGGGCGTCTCTTGGCCGCGCGCTGAGCAATCTTGCCCTCGAAATCGGCTTCGTCAACTTCGGCCGTGTTCCATCCTCTGAGGCGTCCGCCGGTGACCTCAAAGACTCCTTGCCATGCGCCGAAGGCAGCACCCAGGCCGAGCACAACGGGCATTCTTCTGGCTGTGTGAGGCGCGACTTGTAAGTATCCTGCCTTGATTGCTTCTTTCCAGACTCGGGGTTTGTATTCATACTGGTCATTCCGAGGATTGAACCGGCAATGAAGCCGGCAGTCGCGGTGTTCCACGGGTCGTCCTTTTCTCTCAGGTTGGCCATCGCCGACTTGGTGAAGCCGTATGCGCCACCACCAATCGCTGCGCACATTCGTTAGTATTGGAAACTTGCAATTGGACGTGGCGAAAGGCAATTGGGCGACATACCCATCACGGCGATGATGCCGCCGCTGCGGGTGAAGACGGACATGGCGCCAACATTCTGCTTCTGGAGGGCATTGTGAACAGCGGCAATGAAGAAACCGGCACCACCGAGGGCGGCAGAGGAGGAGATGGCCGCCTTGATGGCGTCCTTGGAGTGGTACGTATCGTGGTCGCCGGCCATGGTTGCGGGGTGGTTTGGAGTCGCGGGCCAGACACTCAATTGGAAAAGAAGTTGGTGAGGGATGTTGCGGAAGTTTGAGGTCAGGTTGAAGCTCCACGACAGGTGCTCCACCTCCGGGTCAGTCACGTGCCAGTTCGGTATGGAGCCAATCAGACTACCTGCAAAGGTCAACTGTGTATGCCCTCGGTGAGGTGTGTTTCCGCTTTTGGCTTTGGCACATAAGGTACTTGAAATTGATTTCTGTATTGAATTAGAAACAATCAATTCATATCTTACATGGGTTCCAGGCTAAGATGCCTTGAGATCAATTCACATCTGTTTCAACCAGTCTTTTCTTGGTCGAGGTAAGTAGGCAACTTGGTTGCTTGGGAAGAAGAATTAGGTGGTGCAGTTTTCTTGATGACTCAGCTTTCCTCTAACGAGGTTGGATCCGCTCGCCAGGTCACCTGATCTTGATCCCGGCGACGGTTCATGGAAGCCATATCCCTGCATTCCATGTGATTCTAGCCACAGGCGCCGTGCCTTAATCGCCCCATGCCGAGCCGGGGGTTGACCTGAAAGAAATCGGCAGGCGGTGACGAGGTTAGCGGCCACATACCTACCTAAGGCACTTGAGGTACCTCACCGGCGAAGCTTCCTCTCGCTGGCAAAGTACCTTGCAGGTGATCTAAGCTCCTTCAACTGCGACGGCTTAGTGCGAGGCTACCAGCTGCGTCAGCCTGTCTACGTCTCGATCCCCGCCACACACCACACTACCTGCCCACCTGGAGGTCGCATGAGGTAGCTCTTGCCCGTACGTCCGTCCCTGTCCTTAACGCATTGAAGCTGCGTAATTGTTTACCATCCTCTTTTTCAGATACTTTTCACGTCGTCGTCTTTTCCTGGGGTCTACAGTCTTCTTATCTGTTTACACATGCATTTAGATACCCCAAGCTCTGCTTGCGTTCTCCTCCACGTCGCTGTTTCTGCCACTCTCCCCCGCATGCATACCGCACCGCACGATTTAGGCGTGGCCTCCGTTTGAGGCCGGCACGACAAACACTCTCGGCCACAAAGCCAAGCCAACCGGCCTCGACAAAAGAAGCCCCTTCGCTGTTCGTTCTCTCTCTTTAATGCAACTTGATCTCGCTTTCTTGAACTAACAGTTATACAGTGCCCCGCGTCTAACAAAACCTACCCTGCCGTTCGCGATCGAGCGATCTTCCGCCGAACATACATCGAGTTGCGCATCTTCAATACGAACATAGATATTCTCGCCGACGGCTGCGATAGTCTTTGACGGTCATATATCAGTGGACGGACGAGGAATAACTACGGCTGCCCGTCGATCCACCCGAAGCACTACTGGCTACGTTGAGCTACTAGCTTGGCCAGCACTTACATCGAAACTCTACATATTCGTAGACGACTACCAACCTGTGACTCGAGGTCCTGTACGGGAAGCTGATGACGATTCGGGAGTCGTATGCGAGGCATTAATCGACCAGTCTACCCACACTGAAGCGTCCAGTCAAAGGTTTGGCGCGAGCTTCGATTCATCATTAAGCATACCATATTGAAAGAGGCAGCAACGCATGGCCATCACGGACCATTGCTCCATCATGTCACCAAGCGATTCACCGACTACCCAGCACTGGGAAGGCAGCCCTGCGCCGGTCAAAGAGAATATGGTTGGAAAGACTGGTACGTTGGATATTCCAAATGAGCACGGATTGCGCGTCTGGTCTTCACGACATTATGGCTCACCCGAATTTGTCCCTCGACCGTTGATATTGAATGCTTACATTTCTCTAGGACGCCTTGCCCCAAGATGGATCCAAGACTTGCTCAACTCTGACCTTGATTCCGGATCCTTCGCAAGAATCGAATGGGACCAACAGGCGCGCTGCAGCAAACCAGGAGTACCGCATCGACTCGTCCTGGTGGGCAACCAGAGCACATCAGATACTCGCAACCCTGGCGTGCTGTCTTCTGTCTGCGCGATCTGCGACTTCCACTTCTTGATCAGGACCTGTTGGGACCCAGATCAGCTTGTCTGTCTGTGTCGCCCTAATGCTCTCCACTTCCCTCCAAAAGACACAGATTTCTACCTCCATCATCTCGTCAACATCAAGCAGCCAGTTCGACCGACCAAGTCGACGTCAAACTATCATCCTCTCATTCGCGAGACTATACTCGCTGTTGAGCACTTCGCCTGCTCCGCTCCTCGCTGCACACTGCAAGTTACAGTCGAAATATCACGGCCTCGGCTCAAGCGCGAATGGCTACACCTCCTTCTCAATGAACAGCGCATTCTAGACAATCTGGCAAAAGCCAGGAAGCAGTCGCCGGAACGATTCGCGGACGCAAGAGACGATTGGTGCACAAGCGCTCCAGTCACCCTGAACACCTATCTCAGAGACTTGCTGGATAGGCCCAATCCACGCAACATATCTCAGCGTAATAAGCGCTTCCAGGTCGTATTTGGCGAAGAATGCTATGTCATTTTCAGAGCCATCATGTTCACAGAGGAAAACCTGGACAAGGACGGGGTTCTTGAGCCTTACTTCATCCCGCCCACTCTCGAACCTGGTACCCCCGGCATACCAACGGAGCTCAGCGCATTGCGGGCATTTGTTGAGGATATGCAGGCCGAGACGGAGAGTGTCATAATAAGAGGCGGAAAGACTGGCGAGAATCGGCCCTATGTCGGCAACAGGCTCTTCAAAGAGCTACAATGTCTTGACTACCCCCAGAACAAGATTGCACAAACAGCAACGGAAGCGCATCGGATTCTTGGAGTGCTTCCGGACTTCGACAAGGCACTCATCTTTTTTGCTTACACTCGGCAGTCGGCCCTTTGTGAGAAGCGACGTCCTACGTTTGTCGAGGCCCTCAAGGATATCGCTCTCCTTACAAACGACGACGATTTCCAAACCCGAGCGATCCAAGAGCTCACCATCATGGACGGGATGCCCGCTCCGGATAGCATTGGCGCAGGCGACGAGTTGCAAACACAGGCGTACCAATTTTTTAGCCTTAAATACACCGCCAGCGACGATAATGTAGTTTCTGCCTTCAATACCAAGATCGAACACTCACCCTCTCAAGCTGACTCTGCCCGAGAAATGCTACAGATCATTGGGCGCCACAGGAACAGCGATCGCATTCTTACCCACGCCAACGGCCCAATGGACGTCGCCTCAGCCTATCGCATTCTTGAGGTAGATCCTCAATGGCCTGACAGCACCATTGTGATGATGTCCAGTGTCAAGGTGAGTTATTTGGCCGGAACTGCGACCATCTGATCCCGCTAACAATCCCTCTAGCTGAACAAGGATCCGAAAAGCAAAGCTACAGAGGAAGTCGCGATCAAGGCGATGGAAGCTATCGCCGAGGATAGGAATAGCGACGAAATCCGCGAAGCGGCAAGAACTTTATCTCTATTGGCTCAAGCTCCGGATCAGTCTGCACAAGCTGTGGAGATGGACGCCAGACCTTCCAGCTCAGCCAACTTACCTGTCGGTCTCGAGAACATCGGCAACACTTGTTACTTGAACAGCATTCTTCAGTATCTCAACACTGTCATTCCCATCAAAGACTTGCTTGCCCATTACCCAGACTATGAGCTAGGCCTGGATGATTCGCATATCCAACGCCGGCTTGTCGGCGGCAACAAGCTCAAAATCGATCGTGCCGAGGCAGTTGTTGCCCGCGCTTGTAAGCACTTTTCTAGCATGATAGGCACAGGGAGCCATTGCTAACACCCCATAGTCGTCGATGAGTTGAGCAAACTCTTGGACAATCTTAGTGGCGCTCAGGCTAGTGCGATCCGACCATCCCAACGTCTGGCCAATGCCGTGCTGTTGCCGACCTCGAACTTGACCGAAGATCCTGCTAAGCAACCGTGCAAGACTGCGGAGGAGCCAAAGACTCTGGAAGTCATGGGTACCCAGTTTCCCGCCCCCCCGCCACTCCCTGCCAGGCCTGCTCCTGGGCCTCCTACACATACGGCAGAACACGTCGAGGACGTTGACATGGTTAACGTCACCGTGGACCCGATCTCTGAGTCTGCTAGCAGCGTAAGCTCGCAGACTCTGGTCAACCTTTCCGATGTTGACCACGAGAAGAAGGATTACGTGCCCGAGGATAAAACCGACATCAGAATCGTTTCTCAACCAGTCGAGGTGTCCTCGGCCCGATCCACGAACGATAACGATGTCAAAATGACAGGGTTCGATACAGCCGTTCTCAACGTGGAACAACGAGTACTCAAGGCTTTGGAAACCCAGACCCGAGACTCGGGCACCGATCAACAAGACGTTGAAGAGGTCATGGGCAGCATCATCAACCGTTTGCAGGCTGCCATTAAGCCTACAAGGGTAGATACCACCGATGAGGTCCAGTGGGAGCCGATCATGGACACGTTCTATGTTGAGTTGACCAACCACACGAAGTTCCCCAATCAGGACAAGTACAAATCAGACTCAACTCTGGAGCGTGCCATCACGGCATATCCTGCTGAAGGTGGGCCGACGAACATTCATGACGGCCTTAGTCGCAATTTTGATCTCCAACGTGTCGCTGCCGGAGAAGCAGATATCATGCGATACACGTCGATCAAGAAGCTTCCTCCGATCTTACATGTCCTTATCCAGAGAACGAAAGGCGATGGCCACAAGAACATGAACCCGGTTGAGGTATTCGAGACATTGTATCTCGACCGGTATATGGACACCCCGGACGACCCTCAGTTCTTCAAGTTGCGGCAGAAAGGCTGGGCTCTTCAACAGCGCTTAGACCAGCTGAACAACATGCCCAAGACTGCGGTCGAGGATACTCAACTCATCGACAGTTTCATTAGTGACTTTGTACACGTTGACAAGACTGATGCTGAGGAGACATCGTCGCTTCTCAACGGCATGCCAACGTCGTCCCTTAGCTTTGCGGGGCAAGAGCTGACATTCCCTATCTACCCTCCACAGTCGGATGAGACATTTGAAAAAGTGGAACCGCCTGAGCCTACAGGCTTCACGGTGGAAGGACGCCAGCAGATCAGCAACATGCGCGAGGATGAACTGAAGTCCCACAAAGCGGAGCTTGATCAGCTATTCGCACAACACAAGAAGCATGCGTATCGTTTGCATGCAGTGATCTGCCACAGTGGTCAGCTCAGAGCTGGTCATTATTGGGTCTGGATTCACGATTTTGAGGCTGGAGTGTGGCGCAAATACAATGACAGGGTCGTCACAGAAAACGCCGACACGAAGGAGGTCATGAAGACTCTCAACAGCAACGGCGATCCTTACTACCTCTGTTACGTGGAAGATGGCAAAGAAGGCGACTTGGTCAAAGTCCCCAAACGCCAGCAAGAAAACCCTAACTCTGCTGTCAAGGACGGGGATCGGGATGCTGATGGGGACATCGAACTCATTGACGTAGAGAACAAATGGCCGCAGGGCTCAGGCATTCTGTCACTAAAGGAGTAGAACGCCCTGCCGAAGAATGTCATTCTCAACTTATTCGGAAGTTACACCAAAGAAACAGACGCAGCAGATGAAAATCCAAAGGAGGAAAGGGGTCGCGCACTAAGGAGACGAAGTGCAAGTAAGTCAGGGCTTGGCTCAAACCATCACCAGGCTCTCACTAATTGTCTCTAGTGAAGAGGACTCCGCCGAACTTTCCGAGGGCATCACGTCCGCTGTCAACACGCCCATCCAAGCTACGTTTCCAGCTTGACTGAACCACGGAATAACGATACAATGGCGACACGGTGGTTCGCATCAACTTACTGAGAGATTGGCTTTGGACTTTGTCAAATGAAAGGTGTAGAATACGCGCTTGGGCCCTTGTAGATAGCTCATTGGGGTTCGAGTTATAAAGGCACGAGCGGGCATGGCTTTGGTAGAGGCATCATCATTTCTGACTGGGAAACCACCGCCAATACCCTCTTGCTTAATGATAGAAACGATTTAGACGTTACATTTCTCCCTGTTCGCATTCCTGTCTTGCTTCTTCTCCTCGTTGTACTCGCTGAATGTCCCTCTTCACAGTCACCAGTGATATCTCCAAACAGTCTGCCGGCATCGCTGTGGAGATGTCTCGCTCGCCGACCCAACCAGGACGACGATGTCGGCTCCGCCCCGCCCCTTTAGCTCAGTGGTAGAGCGTCGCACTCGTAAGCTGTGATATGCAAAGGTCCACGGTTCAATCCCGTGAGGGGGCATTCCATTTTGCCTGTGCTGGCTCTCTCTGGCCTCGTACAGCAGATTTGAGCAGGTTTCTCGAAGGAGAGGCCCTTGAGGAGTTGGTTGTGAGACGGGAACGTGGAGAAGTCTGGTGGATATGTTGGATGGATCACGAGTAGGAATAGTAGCTTGGGATAGTGTGAATAGTTCTCGCGGCTGTGAAGGCCGTGTTCTTGGGGGCGGGTGTGGTTCAAATGTTTGGTCGTCTATTGCTCAGAATCTGAAGGTGAGGCGTAGGAGACTCGGGTTTTGCTCAGATGCGTAGCAATTCAACGAAATCTTCTGTGGCATGTTCTGTTCATTGTATCTTTGTGCGTGGGTCTCTCGGAAAAAGCCTCGAGCTATTTCAATTTTGGGCTATGGATCTAGAAGAAACTGCTTTCTCAGAGCCTATCCTTCTCATCGAAGTTAGTCTATTACACTGGGATTGGTGTAAGCCTCAAAAAGAAAGCCGATGTATATGCAGGGGAGTCATCACCTGATGTCTTCAACATTGACACCGGTCCCGCTTACTGCGAGATCCAGGGAACCAGGGGTAAGATGGGACACTACGCAAGATCTATCAATTACTATCAAGCTTTCTGCGAGATCAAGAAACATGTTTCAATATTTCTCCCTGCAAGATATCTTAGATATCATATGTGGCTTGTTGGCGTGATAATTAAGACACTGCCCTGCGAGATCCAGGTGAGCTCGGAAGGATCGTCCAAGGGGGACGGACCATAGGGCGGGGTAGGTATTGCGAGCAGGAAAGGAGGCTAGTCATGCCCGCTAGATGCAATAATCACGTCAAGATGCGCAGCCGTAGGCGTTCGTACCCCGTGGGGAGAGCTAGGGGGAGGGGAAAAGGCGTGGTCTGATGAGGTCTGGAACCCTGGAATGGCGGCACCGGCTTGAAGACCCGGGTAACTGGGATGAGGGAGTAGATATGCAGGGGCTCAGAATCAACGAGGGAAAATGGGGACAGGTTTGCTGGGAGTCTGCAGTAGGTGAAGCGGACTGCCGGTATACCTAAGTGATTTCTTCGCGTGATGGGGGTTTTAGAAAGCAAGGGTTCAATCAGAAAGTAGTTCGAATTGCATAACATCGTACAAGTTTGCAGTCTCAGTAGTTGCAACAATAGCCTGCCTCCCTTTGCCCTCACGTCTCAGCTCGTGTTTAATCTTATCACAGTCTCAGTGTTCCTTGCCTCTTCCAAGCTTTGTGTGCGTGTGTCGGCCCGAACCCATTCAACTTCCATCAAAGCCAGTTTCCTGTCGCTCTCCCAAATTTGCCCTCTTCCATTTTAGTAGTCTCTCATCACATCGCCCTGGTCGTCGTCGCCGTCCTTGATGGGGATAGGCGCAGGAGGCTGTGGGGTTTGAGGTTTGTGACTTGGGTAGGATGCCATTACAAGGGTGTGGAAATGTTTTCTTTTCTTCTGCGTACAATCGTATAATCAATTGAAATGCTCATTTGACTCTCCTTATGGATGGGATGATAATGTTCGACGTAGGAGAATCACTCACGAGGCGGTTTATGATAGTCAGTTAAGGAAGAGGTTGGAAGAAAGTTTTCATCATTGGTCGCAATTTGAGAGCGGACGGAGCAGAGTATATACAAACATAACTTCTATGCTTCCCCTCTCTTTACCTTTTCTTTTCTGTCTGAACCAAGCTATTGGGGACCATAGAACGCGGGGGGACGGCGTGACGTCAGGCCACCGTGATGTCCAAGTGTGTCGACTCTCCCCTTCACTTGGCTGTTCTCTACTATGAAGGTGGTCACGGGCGTTCCGCTCGGACGGTTCGTGAGCTAAGTCAATTAAATGAGTTTACGCGGTCTCGCAACCCTTTCGGATAAATGGGGCATATGGCAAAGGGAGTAAAGTGGTCATCGAGAGAGTTCAGTCCGTCGGTGCGGGGGATGGACTTGCAACTCGTCGTCCACCGGAAGTGAATTAAAGTCTACAATTGGGGGTCTCACATTATGGAACAATGACTTTTTGTTTTAAGGGTCGCAATCTCGCATGGGGACATTATCTTTGTGCTGTCAGTTTGATATCAGACCAGAATGGGGTCCGGGATTGGATGTCATCGTAAGTCAATGGTCATTGAGATGGGACGTAAGTGACGAGGATCAAGGCCACGTTTTATAAACCCCAACTTCTATGGCTAATCATGGCTAAAAAAAATCGTCATCCGTATGATAGTTTGCCTTCACTGCGGTCAGTATCTCCTATAAATAATGCGTGCCCATGTCGAGAAAGGAGCAACTAATCATACTTAGATGTGGACATCCTGACTTGCGAGTAGGCACGATAGCAGTGACTCTGCGCCCAGAGCAAAGCCAAATCGGCGCAAACTCCTAGGCAGCTGAACCAAAGCTCTTTGCAAGTGCCTACTGCCCCTGAGTGCTGCTGATAAACGGTTAGTTCCCGCGTGTCGGCGGCTGATCCCCCACCAACCCCGCCGCAGCCGCAGGACAGCAGCCCCCGGTCGGCTCGGAGAACCTGGCTTGGTGACCCGCATACGAAGTACCTGCGGCACAGCGTGGAGCGCAGCTGTCAGACTCCCCGTACCCATAAATTATCAGATCAGGACATGAGAATGTGAAAACCCCACCATCCACCTCGCTGAACAACTTCTCGCGAGGGGTTCCGCTCATCGAGATCCAAGGAAAGCTGGAACCTGTTTCTAGTCCGAGATTGCGGTGAAGAAGAAATGCATGAAAACTCTCAAGGTTGCGCAAACGTCGAGGCAATGAGACAATTCATACCTAACTCAGAATAAGTCGGGGCGATTCAGATGACAGGTGGGAATCCACTCTCCGGGTCAAGGAGGTTAGCGTTTTATGGTGATAAAATTGTCGCAGATGTCTTGTCTTTGAACGTCTGCCAGATCCCCAGATTGTTCGACTTGCAGAGCCTCGAGACCATGGATGCAATGTCACATTTAAATTCCGTGTCTAGTCCAATAGACGCTTGGCTTTGCCGAGTGCTGTCACACAAACCAAGGTGAATACGGTGTATAGCGAGGAAGGCTGTACCCGCTGAAAGACGAGCCTATTCATCACCCACGGGGTGGAACATTTTATCATATTGATAAGCGTATGTCGTTGCGTTCCCATATCGTCGTCTCAAGCAGATCGCCGGCGTTGTTGGTTGGCATAAGTCCTGACTCAATGCGGAACACCGGATGACTTGGAACCCAACGGCATTCCGTGAACATTCCTTCAAGCGCACATTGTGGGCCTCCCCCTCATCTGGCACGGTTTCGCCAAGAGGCTATCCCTCCATCGGCGAGGTCTCATCACTTAACTGACTTGCCGGTTGCCGCTGCAATTGCTCTGAGTCTCTCAAGACGCAAGACACTGAAGGTCAATCGATATTCAGCGGATGGCGTGGCCTCTGGGGGGCAAGATACTTGTTGTAGGCAGAAGAAACGCTGATGCTGAAGAGAAAAATGACCTGGGCGAGAAATTCCCAGAAAAACGATATAAATGGCGATTCAAAACAGCGCGTTGTTTCTGCGGAAGTGGCACCAAGGACGAGCACCGAGCTCAAGCTCAAGCTCCAGCTCCCCTCCACTTTGTCCTCGTCTTCTCGGGGCTGGGGTCCTAGCTCCCGCCGTGAAAGGTGGTGGGGTGATGTCTGCAGGATTGACACTTGGCGGGGTGTGTCAGGCCCCCCAGTGAACCGGGGTTGCCAGGCTTATTGTGGCACGTAAGGCAAGTCGTGGATGAGCGGTGCCATGATCTGCGTGCATATGCCATGATCCAGACTCGCCATGAATCAGCTGCTTCTGGATCTGGGCGAGGAGCCGGCCGGGTTCCGCACCGTCAGTTGTTTTCCGTCGTCTAGTTCGTGCCTTATGCCAGCCTGCCCAGTTGCCTGCAGAAGAAGGCCAAGTACCAAGGCACCTCTCTGCAATGGCGGGATATTTGCTGCATGCCTAGCTAGATTGGCCAAGGGCAGTAGGCGTCCGGGTTCACTGCTAGGCTTGCCGGGCCTGTCATTCATACCCCTTGCCGGCTAACTGACGACGTCCTTGTTTCGATATTCGTCTGGCTCCTCCGGGACAGCATTGTCATTACCAACGCCGTTGGTGCAGCTAATGATCGGGCCATCAGTGGACTGGTCGACCAGACAAGCGAATCGAGGGAAAAGGCTGGTCGTTCTAAGCCGGTTGCACGGGGACACCGGCACTGGTTGCGATAGGGCGTTGATACGAGTAAACGGTCCGAAACGGTGGTACCGTAGAGCATGCCTAACCCGGGATGGCGGCTCTGTTGGCTTTCTCTGGAGGCGAGATAGAACGGATTCTGCTGTTTTCTCGATGGAAGGATGCCACTGTCCCGTGATGGTAGGGAGATATCTTGGGTGTGCCATTTCGGTTGACGCCACGCCAAGAAGGGGATCGTATCTGGCGATTAGCCGTTGTCCTGGGAGTTGACTATCTCATTCCCGAAGATCGGGTAGTGAGACCACCTAGCCAAAAGGTGATTGAGGCTTTTTGATGCAGGCATGGATGGGTTGGATTGGGTCAGAATCGTGTTGGTGTAACAGAGATTGGCCCGGCAGCACGGACTGGGCAGAGCTGCCGATAATGCCAATGTAGTTGCAGGCGTTACGTTGCAAATTGTAATGAAGATGTGTGCATCAGCACCTGCCTCACCTTGCTAGTCACTGTCTTCACCTTGGCTCGCCATGGACACCGTAGATACGTAGCCCGGGCCGGCAACCGGCAGCTGCCGACGGTGCTGGATACGTACCTTGAAGGTACCGTACCATGTCCCGAAGCGGCGATTCTGCTCGGCCCGCTGCTGCCCCGACTCTGAAATCTGAGCAGCAGTTTTTCTCCGTACTTCCTCCGCTGACTGAGACCTCTCGACCACCAAGGTGCAAGCGTTCCTGACCCAAAAAGCCATTGAATCCTGAACATCCTTCCCCAATCTCCTGAAAACGGACTGACAGGGCAAATCAAGCACTATGACGCGGACAGGATCACAACCGATACCGACGTGGGGCGTAAGGTGACGTCGGCTACATGTCGCCTGGTGCCATGGCCGCAGTTGAGTTGCGTTCAGAAAATCAGACCACCTCTTCTCCCCATGCACAATCACCAGCACCACCCACCGATCAACCTCTCGTCGCCAAAAGAACATGCAAGGAAAACCCGCAATTCCTCAGCTCATCTGCAGCCGCCCTCTTAGTTTTCGTCCCGTCACCCTGTCATAGGCAGCTTCCGGACCGCCCAGAAGGAAACTTCGCCATATGCCACTAACGGCAACCCACGCCAGAAGTCCACGTTGCCAGGATGCCATGACACCCGACATCTCTTTCTCTTCTCCCCCCCCCCCCCCACGTTGCCAGCCCATTGAAGCCTTTCGTTGTGGAATGAATGAGGGTCCCGCACCTGGGGTTACCACTTCTCCAACTCCCCAGGCTAGAAGTCCCAAAAAGATGCTTCACCTGGAGCCCCATCAAGGAACGTGTTACGTGCCACAAGGTTCCGTTCCGTATCTTCGTATCCCCCACCCCTGCTTGTATGCCCTTGTTCTTTCAACGCTCGCAACCTTCGCCTCCAACCCAGGTTGGTAGCCGTCAACATCGGCTGATAGCTCCCGGACCTGCGTTTACGCTACTCAGTCGATGCCCGCCGGCCTCCAACCGGGGATCAGCACCATAGACGTGAGCATCAAACTCCAGCCTGGGCAGAGCTACCCGCCTGCCGCCCGACCTCTGGGCGAAATGACCGCAACATATCTTGCTCTCTCTCTGTCTCTCCTCTGACCTCTTCCGGCCTGACTAGTAGGTATAAAGACCAAGCCCTCTCGGACTTCAGTCAACTCTTGCCTTTCCTTTTCTAAACCACCCCTTTCAAGGCATCTTGGCCTGAACACACCTACGATAAACATCACCAACACTTACGTACCTACCTCCCGTCACCATCAACATGGCCGACAAGGAGGTCGAGTCCATCAGCCCCTATGGCCCAGCCCGGTCAACAGTAAAGGGCGAGCCCCTCTCCAAGGAGGACATTGTAAAGTACAATGACTTCTTCAAGGCCAGCTTGTACCTGTCTTTGGGAATGATCTTCCTCAAAGAAAACCCCCTCCTCAGGGAGCCCCTCAAGAAGGAGCACATGAAGCTGAGGTTACTCGGTCACTTCGGATCAGCTCCGGGTCAAATCTTTACCTGGATGCACTTCAACCGTCTTATCAAGAAGTACGACCTCGACTCCATCTTCATCTCCGGCCCGGGCCATGGAGCCCCCGCCGTGCTCTCCCAGTCGTACCTCGAGGGTGTCTACTCCGAGGTCTACCCAGAGAAGTCGGAAGACGTTGAAGGCATGCAGAAGTTCTTCAAGTCCTTCTCCTTCCCCGGTGGCATCGGTTCCCACGCTACCCCGGAGACCCCGGGCTCCATCCACGAGGGTGGAGAGCTTGGCTACTCCGTCTCCCACGCATTCGGTGCCGTCTACGACCACCCCGATCTTATTGCCCTGACCATGGTCGGCGATGGTGAGGCCGAGACTGGTCCGCTGGCAACTGCATGGCACAGCACCAAGTTCCTCAACCCCATTGTGGATGGCGCCGTCTTGCCTGTCCTGCACCTGAACGGTTACAAGATCAACAACCCCACGATCCTGGCCAGAATCTCCCACAAGGAGCTGGAGAACCTCTTCCTCGGCTACGGTTGGCAGCCGTACTTTGTCGAGGGCGACGATGTCGATACCATGCACCAGGCCATGGCCGCCACTCTGGAACACTGCGTCCTCGAGATCCGCAAGTTCCAGAAGCAGGCCCGCGACTCCGGCAAGGCCTTCCGCCCCATCTGGCCCTTGATTGTCCTTCGCAGTCCCAAGGGCTGGACTGGCCCCCGCAAGATTGACGACAACTACTTGGAGGGCTACTGGAGAGCCCACCAAGTCCCCATCCCCAACGCCGCCACCAACCCCGAGCACATGAAGCTCCTCGAGCAGTGGATGCGCAGCTACGAGCCCGAGCGTCTCTTCAAGGACGGCCGTATCTCGGATGAGCTCAAGTCCCTCTGCCCTACCGGTAATCGCCGCATGAGTGCCAACCCCGTGGCTAACGGTGGCGTTCTTAGGAAGCCTCTCAAGCTTCCCGACTTCAAGGAGTACGCTATCAAGGTTGACAAGTCTGGCGGCACCATGGCTGCCAGCATGAACAACATGGCCACCTATCTTCGGGATGTCATGGCCCAGAACATGCAGAGCTTCCGTCTGTTCGGACCCGACGAGACCGAGTCCAACAAGCTTGGTGCCGTCTACGAGGCCGGCAAGAAGGTCTGGATGGGCGAGTACTTTGAAGAGGATGCCAACGGCGGCAACCTGGCCCCCGAGGGACGTGTCATGGAGATGCTTTCCGAGCACACCTGTGAGGGTTGGCTCGAGGGTTACATCCTGACCGGACGTCACGGTCTCCTCAACAGCTACGAGCCATTCAGTAAGTTCACCTCTCTCTCACGTATTGAACAAACATGATGCTAACAAATTGTGCAGTCCACGTCATCGACTCCATGGTCAACCAGCACTGCAAGTGGATCGAAAAGGCCCTCGAAGTCGAGTGGCGCAACAAGATCGCCTCCCTCAACATCCTCCTCACCGCCGTCGTCTGGCGCCAGGACCACAACGGCTTCACGCACCAGGACCCGGGCTTCCTCGACGTCGTCGCCAACAAGAGCCCCGAGGTCGTCCGCATCTATCTCCCGCCCGACGGTAACTGCCTCCTCTCTACAATGGACCACTGCCTCGCCTCCTCAAACTACGTCAACGTCATCGTCGCCGACAAGCAGGAGCACCTGCAGTACCTCACCATGGAGAAGGCCGTCGAGCACTGCACAAAGGGCATCGGCATCTGGCCCCAGTTCAGCACCGACCAGGGCGAGGAGCCCGACCTCGTCATGGCCTCGTGCGGCGACATCTCCACTCACGAGTCCCTCGCCGCCATCGACCTCCTGCTGCAACACTTCCCCGAGCTCAAGATCCGCTGCGTCAACTGCGTCGACCTCTTCAAGCTCATCTCCCACGAAGACCACCCCCACGGCCTCACAAACGCCGAATGGGTCTCCCTCTTCACGGACGACAAGCCCGTCATTTTCAACTTCCACTCCTACCCCTGGCTCGTCCACCGCCTCACCTACAAGCGTCCGGGCAACATGAACCTCCACGTCCGCGGCTACAAGGAAAAGGGCAACATCGACACGCCCCTCGAGCTCGCCATCCGCAACCAGACGGACCGCTTCAGCCTCGCCATGGACGCCATCGACCGCATGCCACAGCTCCACAACCGCGGCGCCGCCGCCCGCGAGACGCTGCGCAACCAGCAGATCGCCGCCCGCATCGAGGCGTTCGAGACGGGCATGGACCCGCCCTTCCTCAAGAACTGGACCTGGTCTCACAACGGCCTGTGGCAAAAGGTCGCCAAGATCACCACCTAAGACTTTTGATAGATGGGGATTAGAAAAGCTTTAGATGGAAGAAACGACTAGATGAAATGTTTGGACAGGTTTCACAGACAGTAACGTTTTTTCAAAAAGAGTTTGTTTGATGCTACGGCGTTGTGGTATACTCGGGATAAGAGGAGAAGATATCAGGGCAGTTTTTTGCGAGTTTGAGAATGAGGTTTTTGTCGCGGCGGTGGCACATGTGCTCTAAAGTTGAATGAAAAACAAAATATATGTGTTTTTTCATTAGATTTACATTCATCTCAACAAGATCTCACACTGGAAAGAACATGGCCAGTCTGCTTCACCTTGAATATGCTTGATAATTCACACGCATCATTGGTATCTAAACGAAAGCAAAAAACACAAGAAAACGCAAAAGTTGAGATACAGCCTAGGCCATATCGGTGGTGTTTTGCCCAACCCCCCTCTGGGTACAATCCCTCGCCCTTCACGACCCGTACAACAGGCGGTGAGGAACTTGCGCTCGAGACTCCCAAACGCCCCTATTTGATAATGCTACACTTGCGTGTAAGTCCCAATCTCTCTGAAATCCCAATGTGCAAAAACGACAATGTACCGGCTGTCAAAGCTGCCTCTGCTACCGTGGATGATGGCATGCTTCATCGGCGGGCGCTTGATGCAGACCCTTTCCTTGCGCAACGGCCTGCAATGACTTTGGTTGTCACACTCGTCCCTGGGTCTCTCTAGAGATAGGCTTGGACCTCCTCGTCGGCCCCCCCATC